AATGTGGGAGGAGAGAAATCAGGCTTACCTCATCCTGCAAGGTGCCAGCTATGTCAACGATACGCTGGCACAGGCAGATTGACAGTATGTGTAGACCACTCTGCTGCATTACTTAGGGAAATCTGTGGAAGGTGTGGTAAAATGCAGCACTTGAGTAGGCTGCACTAACACATGTACACTTAGTGGGAACTGTTAGGAACACGGGGGTCCACTTGGTACAGGTCATCTAGCAGCATGGGCTAAACTGTTCTGTACATTGCTGAGAAAAGGTTTCAGAGGGTGGTATGTTAGGTAAAACCACATGAATTCACGTACTTTATGGGAGCTGGAAGACAAACACATTCATTGGCCTCAAGCTTCCCTAAAAGGAAGATCAGTAGGTTCTGATTACTAAAAATCTGATCTATTTGACGCTCCTGTCAGTTTGAGATGAATTGTAGGGAACAGCGATCTCCCAGCTTCTCTCTCAAACAGAGTCATGAGTCAGAATGCAGTAGTACTGCAGCAGTCCAGCAGAACAAAGATGAAATCCCCAGACCAATGAATGGCCATGTATGAGAGACCCCTTCTGTAAACCCAACTTCAACATCAGTTCCACCAAACTTTGGATGTAAATCCAGCTTTCCTCCCGCCCCACACCCGCAAAAACCACACTATTTGACATTTTACTGAGAGTACAGCCCAAACCCACCCAAAAAATGAAATGTACTACTCCTACCTTTCAGATACCTCTTGTTTTAAGATGGGCATATCACTAAAAGGCAGGTCTGCCTCCAGAAAGCCCAGGAAATCACGTTCTGCATTGAAGGATTCTTTCTCCAAATCAATGTCCATTGCATTCTGACCACTAAATGAAGAATCTAAAAGATCTCGCTGCTGTAAATCTAATCCATCAGTTTCAATAGGGCGGCCAAGATTGCTGGGAGAGCTGGAAATGCTACCTCCTTCATGCTCTGAGCTACTATTTTGCTTCATATCGCGCTGAGGTCTACTGTTTAGTCCATCATCTCTGAATCCTTTAGCAAAAGGGTTGTAATCTATTTTTAGCTGGGTAATCTGGATATTCTGATAGGCTGTCACTGCAAAAAACTCTGTCTGTGGGAAGGTAAAGGTGTGGACATCAGGACCATTCAGCTGGATAACTTCTGTAGCTTTGTCTGCAGGTACCAGGTGAAGCCGTGGGAGGTAGCGGTGCATAGAGTGCAATATGATATGACCCTCCTGATCAAGAGTATTATTGGTAAGCTTGAGTTTGTAGAAAGATACCGGCTGGTGCATCCAGTACTGACCAGTGGAGGGTGATTCTGGATGAATAAACACCCGTCCCAGAACATGGGGTTCTGCCTTCCCACTGGGCTCCCACCAGCGACCATTCCATTTATAACGGTGATTATCTACAGGAGAGATGTCCATGACTAGGATGTATTTCAGATTGGAATCTAGGCCTGTAATCCAGTATCGACAGTATGGAAACATACGCCTCCCCTGTTTGGTCAGAATCATCTCTGTGCTGCGATGGTAGAACTCATTCCACATACTGTTGTTGTCCAAGGTGACAGTGATGCTCCCTGATGTACAATCAGCTGGAAGGCAAGTCTTTATTTTAGATTTTAGTGGCGTTGACACACTACTTGCGAGGGCACAGGCATCCCGGTTTGCTACTAGAATTCCTTGATCAGATTTACCATTTCCCTGCTGCTGTTTCAGGATGACAAAAAAAGCAGGTGCTGCTCCAGACACTGCCCCACTATCCCGGTTACCCAGCACAATTTGTTGTTTCTCCATGATGATGATGGACAGTGCTGTAAATTCTCTTAAATTAACTGCAAATTTGAAATGGTTCTGACAGCCTGTCCTCTGTATTCACCATCCTGGAAACAAACAAGACGACCCAATTAGCAGTAATTAAATGCAATATACCAAAAATACTCCTCCTTTACTTGAAGAAACTGGGTTAAATACATTTTTATAATACATTTACACACACAAACTTCATTAAAAGAACCTGAAGGTTGCAAAGTCAAGCACCTCAAGTTAGGAAATGCCAAAATTAATGTTGCCTGGAAAACTAATTTGCTCCTCATTTACGTATACACAATCACGTAACATTTTCCACGGTACCCAGAGCCTCATGCAATGCACTGGATGGACTGTACTCCTGGGTTGAATTAGTTATGCAGTGAAGGAGCCTGTTGTCTGTAGGACCCTGGCCTCAATTTGTTGCAGAAGTTGGAATATTTGTAGC